GCGGGACGGGCTCTGTGTCACTCTGTGAGGCAGTGCAAAGCTGTCCCCTTCAGTAGCCATATTGCCCTGAGGAGTCTCTCGAGCTTCTCCAGGGCATGTGCCTGGACCCAGCAGCGCCCCACTGGGATGCTAGTGCCCGGAGGAACTGGCCTCCCTGGGAAGAAGGAGACCCGGTGCTGGGGTGGGGTCCCTGCAAACCCACTGTGGGAGGGAGTCACTTCTGGAAACAGAGTTACTGCCCAGCCCCCCCCCAGGCTGAAATTCCCGAGCTGTTCCTGTACCTTTGAGAAGGAGGGGCACGAAGGGGATGATGGGCGGGGTCAGTTTGGCGATGGCCAGTCTGTAGACTCTGTGATTCCAGGACGGGTCCTGGAAGGAGAAAAGCATTTCAGAGCAGGACCCATTTCTGGGCCCCAGAGCGGTGCCTTCGCGAGGCCATGGCTGCAGGCTAGGCCCCCAGCAGGCCAGAGCTCAGCTCCCCCAGGCCAGTGCAGCCCCTCGCAGCCTGAGGGAGCGCCCCCGCTGGAGGGTCACCTCACCACCGCTGGGGTGGAGCACAGCAGCTAGTTAGCTGTAGCTCTGGGCTGGAAGGGCAGGGGACCTCTGCAGCCAGTTGATGCTGGAGGGGACCTAGGGAGGCAGAAAGTCCTCACCCAGATGACGCTGGGGCCAGCACCCTGGCTCACACCCAGAGTACCTGGGATCACCCGTGACCAGGGGGCTTAGCACAGCTCCTCCTGCAGTGCTCCGACACCATGGAGCAAGGGCCTGAGATGGAGCCCTCTAGCATTGCACGGGGGCTGCATGCAGCACAGAAGGGGGGGTTCCCCTTCCTGCATCACCTGCACCACTTCCTGCCCCCAAAGGACCCCTCCCCCAGGCACTGCCCCAGCCCAGCATGGCTTAGCTCCCACAGCTGGGTGGGCTGGGCTATGGGAACCTGCCTTGGGGGTCTCCGCCATCTACAAGAATCATGTGGGGAAGTGAAGGTGCTGGCAAAGGGAGCCAAACTTACCAGCATACGCTCCAGCGCTGAGTGCAGCTTCCTGGTTTTGTGCGGCAGCCTCTGTGGGTGAGACAGAGCAGGTGAGAGCTTCCCCCGAACCCCAGGTGGATCCTCCAGCCCCCTGCACCGGGACCCTCTCCTGTTCCTCACACAGAGCGCATTCTCAGCACCTCTGCCGCGCTGGGGGCTGCATGGAGGCTGACCCCCCAACAGCCAGGCCCTGGGCACCCAGAACTGCCTGCATTCCCGTGGGAGTTCTGGGTGTGAAGAAGGCAGGCCCCAGCCCAGAAACTAGACACAAGGATTGTTTCAGCCAGTACAGAGCTGCAGCCACCTTTGGGGTGGAACACAGGGTATAGGGAAGGGAGTGAAGAAGGCGTCTGTATCTCAATGGGAGGGAGTTGCGCGGGGTGAGCAGCAGTTGGATTTTGGCCAGGACACTCGCATTAACTGAGCCTGGGGCTCTGGTTCGGGCCCATCGCCCAGCAGGAGGTGACCTCTGCCTAGGCCGTTAGGAGCTGAGGGTCCCAGGGCCTGGGCGAAGTTTCCCAGGCTGGATCTGACCTGGAGTAACAGGGCCTGTGCCTTGGTCTGTACCTCCCAGGTCTTGGCGAGGCGACTCACAGCCGTGTTGCTCAGACCAAACATCACCGCGAAGAAGGAATTCAGGTTCTTCTGCTCCTTGAGGCTGAAATGGAAGATACAGTAACTCGGGGGCTGAGGGCCAGCCCTCGGCCTGGATGACACAGCTAACACAGCAGGGCCCAGCGCCAGGCTGCCTCCATGGAGAGGGCTGGCTTGGGTGCAGCGGGGACTCCTGGAGGACGAGTTCCCTGCCCACAAGTCACTCACTGTGCCGCCAGCTTAATGAACTTCCTGAGCAGCTGGGCGCGCCTGCCCGGCTCCGCACAGAGGCAGAGCTCGGTGGCGATCCAGTACTGCAGCTCGTTGAAGCGCCGCATGACGCGCTCCAGGTTCGCCGTGGTCGCGCTGGGAAACGTCTGCTGCCCAAAGATGTAATAGATCAGCTCCACCTTCAAGACACAAGGGCCAGAGCTCAGGGCTGGGACTGGACCCGCATCTCCTGAGAGCCAGCCCAGCGCCTGGCCCACACCCTCTCTGCTCCGACCCCAGGCTTATTGCTCCAGACGCTGCCCATTACCTGGTGGACGCTGCTGAAGAGGTTCCAGTCGTAATCCGTCAGCTGACTGGCCAAGTCCTTGGAGCTGATGAGGTCCAGGGTCTCTGAGGAGCCAACGGTGGGCCCCAGCTGCTCGGGATGAGGGGTCTGGATAGAGGAGGAGCGAGAATGTCACACGCCCCCGTCTCCTTAGCCCTGTGTGCTCTGCACGGCCTGCGGGTGAGCCAGGCAGCCCTGGGCCAGAGCCCTGCCCAGCTCAGCGGGGAGCTGGTAGATCTTAGGTGGCTGTGAACGCCCAGGCAGCCAGGCAGACCAGCCACAGAGGCCAGACCCCAAGCCATCTACACCACAGGTCAAGGTGCGGCTCCTGCCGCTGGGAGCAGACTGTGGCAGTCCCTGGGGCAGAGGCCCTGCTGCCCAGGGCCTGTGTGCTGCAGTGCTGGACCTGGGCTCTCCACGCCCCGACACAACCAGTTCCCAGTTCTGAGTGTCTCTGATAATGGGCAGCAGCCCTCGGGTGGTGTGTGTGCTCGTGGGATGGAGTCTCCAGCCCTTGGCAAAGAGAGGGGCACAAGGCTCGCCTGGCCCCAGCCTAGAACCCTGCTCCCCCCGCCCAGCCCTCACCAGGGTGTGCAGCTCCTGGACATTCACAACAAAGAGTCTCTCGTTCAGGCCCAGGGATGTGAACACACCGATGGTGTCCATCTGCAGCCCCGCTTTATCTGTCAGAGAGAGAGAGCCTGTTGGAGAGCTACTCCCACAGTGGCCACCAGGCGGCGGTGTTTGCACGCACACCAGCCAGCAGGGACAGGCACGTTCCCGGACGGAGCGCAGCCAGCCTCGCTGCCCTGGGGCGCAGGGGAGACATGGGGCAATCCAAGCGTGAGCAAGGGCTGCCAGCCCGGGACTTGGCGGAGCTCAGGGCTGGTCCCCAAGTGAATTCACAGGCCTGTGAGGAGGGCATGCCAACCCCACACACCCGTAGAGCCGGCGGAGGGCCGCAGCAGGCTGTGCCATACGACAGTGCCCCAGGGACCACACTGGCTGCAGCATGGGGCACCCCACTCCTTCCAGCTCGAGAGGGGACCGGCTCAGGGTGTAGGATTGGGAGGTCTCAGCAGGACATGGATCAGCCATGCCCCCTGAGGCGCAGTGTGGGGCCTGGGCCAGGCGGGAGCGGGAGCAGCTGCTGCCACTAGAACACCGTCGCCCCCTCTGGGTCAGTATGGGCAGGGCGAGCCCCGAGGAAATCCTCGCAGCCTGGGGGGTAGCGGAGAGGGGCAGCTGCAGCATGGGGAGAGGGGCCAGGTGTCGCTGGTGCAGAAAGGGGGTTGGGCAGGTGAACAGGCCTCCAGATGCTTGGCAGACCCAGACACTGCCTAAAGTGAATGCATCCCACTCTCCCAGCCCCATTACTGCCCCCTCTTCACTCTACCTGCTTCAGGGACACCCTGGCGGGGCAAGGACATGCTGCCCTAGAGCAGCTGGGGGGGAGGCAACGGGAGGCGGGAGGACACACTGCCCCAGTGCAGCTGGTGGGGAGGAAGGGGGAGGAGGACATGCTGCCCCAGTGCAGCGGGTGGGGGAGGTTGGGGGAGGACGTGCTTCCCCAGTGCAGCTGGAGGGGGGAGAGGAGGACGTGCTGCGCCAGTGCACCTGGTGGGGGGAGGAGGTAGGATGTGCTGGCAGGGGAAGGTGGGAGGAGGACGTGCTGCCCCAGTGCAGCTGGAAGCGGGAGGTAGGGGGAGGACGTACTGCCCCAGTACAGCTGGAGGGGGGAGGGGAGGACATGCTGCCCCAGTGCAGTTGACGGAGGAGGTGGGGGGAGGATGTGCTGCCCCAGTGCAGCTGGAAGTGGGAGGTGAGGGGAGGACATGCTGCCCCAGTGCAGCTGGAGGTGGGAGGTGGGGGGAAGATGTGCTGCCCCAATGCAGCTGGATGGGGGAGGGGAGGGGAGGATGTGCTGACCCAGAGCAGCTGGAAGTGGGAGGTGAGGGGAGGACATGCTGCCCCAGTGCAGCTGGAGGTGGGAGGTGGGGGGAAGATGTGCTGCCCCAGTGCAGCTGGATGGGGGAGGGGAGGATGTGTTGACCCAGAGCAGCTGGAAGTGGGAGGTGAGGGGAGGACATGCTGCCCCAGTGCAGCTGGAGGGGGGAGGGGGGGGGGAGGTGTGCTGCCCCAGTGCAGCTGGCAGGGGAGGTGGGGAAGGACGTGCTGCCCAAGTCAGTGGCATAGCCAGGTTGAGGGAACAGGGGGAGCGATAAAAAAAAAAAAGCGCCCACCCACTGCAGGGCTTTTACTCACCCGGCGGTGCTCCGGGTGTCTTCGGGGCACTGAAGGACCCGCCGCCGAAATGCCGCCGAAGACCCGCAGAGCGACTGAAGGTCCCGCCGCCGAAGTGCCACTGAAGACCCAGAGTGCCGCCGAGTGAGTAAAATAAAAGCGCCGCAGCGAGTGGCGCCTTTTTTGTTATCGCTCCCCCGGGTGAGTACAAAGGCGCCAGGAAATTGACAAGGTGCCACTTGTGCTCATTGGGGAAGCGCCGCTGCCCCGCTCCCCCCTAGCTACGCTACTGGCCCCAGTACAGCCGGATGGGGGAGGATGTGCTGCCCCAGTGCAGGTGGCAGGGGAGGTCGGGGGAGGACGTGCTGCCCCAGTGCAGTTGGTGCAAGGAGACGGGTGGAGGATGTATTGCCTGAATGCAGCTGGTGCGGGGGAGGGGGAAGGACATGCCGCCCCAGTGCAGCTGGAGGGGGGAGATAGGGGGAAGACGTGCAGCTGGCGGAGGAAGGGGGGCAATGTGCTGCCCGAGTGCAGCTGGAGGGGAGGGGGGAGGACATGATGCCTGAATCATTCCCCTCTATTCGGCATTGGTGAGGCCTCATCTGGAGTACTGTGTCCAGTTTTGGGCCACACACTACAAGAAGGAGGTGGAAAAACTGGAAAGCGTCCAGCGGAGGGCATCAAAAATAACTAGGGGGCTGGAGCACATGACTTATGAGGAGAGGCTGAGGGAACAGGAATTGTTTAATCTGCAGAAGAGAAGAATGAGGGGGGATTTGATAGCTGCTTTCAACTACCTGAAAGAGGGTTCCAAAGAGGATGGATCTAGACTGTTCTCAGTGGTACCTGATGACAGAACAAGGAGTAATGGTCTCAAGTTGCAGTGGGGGAGGTCTAGGTTGGATATTAGGAAAAACTTTTTCACTAGGAGGGTGGTGAAGCACTGGAATGGGTTCCCTAGGGAGGTGGTGGAATCTCCTTCCTTAGAGGTTTTTAAGGTCAGACTTGACAAAGTCCTGGCTGGGATGATTTAGTTGGGAATTGGTCCTGCTTTGAGCAGGGGGCTGGACTTGATGACCTCCTGAGGTCCCTTCCAACCCTGATATTCTATGATTCTATGATGTGCTGCCCCAGTGCAGTTGGTGGGAGGAGGCGGGGGGAGGACGTGCTGCCCCAATGCAGCTGGCAGGGGGATGTGGGGAGAGGATGTGCTGCCCGAATGCAGCTGGTGGGGGAGAGGTGAAGGGAGGACGTGCTGCCCCAGTGCAGCTGATGGGGGAGGTGAGACGAGGACATGCTGCCCCAGTGCAGCTGACAGAGGGAGGGGGAGAACGTGCTGCCCCAGTGCAGGTGGCAGGGGAGGTCGGGGGAGGACGTGCTGCCCCAGTGCAGCTGGCAGGGGGAGGGGGGAGAACGTGCTGCCCCAGTGCAGCTGACGGGGGAGGGGAGAGAACGTGCTGCCCCAGTGCAGGTGGCAGGGGAGGTCGGGGGAGGACGTGCTGCCCCAGTGCAGCTGGCAGGGGGAGGGGGGAGAACGTGCTGCCCCAGTGCAGCTGAAGGGGGACGGGGTAGAGAACGTGCTGCCCCAGTGCAGGTGGCAGGGGAGGTCGGGGGAGGACGTGCTGCCCCAGTGCAGCTGGTGGAGGGAGGTGGGAGAACGCACTTCCCAGCTCCCGCCAGCACCACGCCACTCACTCACCCCCTGCTGAGTTGACCTTGACCAGCATGCGCTCGCCGTGCCCGCCCTCTTGGCGGGTGAGGGACTGGAGCACGTCGCGCACGGAGGCGTTCACTGGCAGCACCACGGTGAGGCAGGAGTGGTCAGCTCTGTAGACGTCGTAGGGCACTGGGGAAGGCGGGGACGCGTTAGTGAGACCCCCCTGGCCAGGACCCAGCCAGCCGAGGGCAGAGGTGACCTAGGATCCCCGGGCAGGGAGCCCCGTTTGGGGGCAGGTTTGAGCTGTGAACTCCGTGGGAGGCAGACTGGGGCCCCAGGGCACAAGCCCTGACTGCAAGTCCCTATGGGCTCTGAGCAGGGCCCTGCCTCTCGGGTATGGGGATCACCATGTCGGGGAGTCTGCACCCCACACGCCTCCCAGGGTGACTGTATCTAAGGGGAGGTGTGACACTCTTTACCCCAAAGCAACACCCTGGCACCCCCATATCTACCATGGTGATATAATTATGATGCGTTTTGTAAAAAGTCTGCCTTGCGAGGTACTATTTTAAAAGTCTTGATCGGTTAAGCATTACTCTCCTGTTGGATTGTATGTGGTATCATTGTATGCGAAGTTATGATGTTTTGCTATGTGTGCGTTACTGAAATATGTAGTGAGTTTGGGAACACCCACAAGCAGCCTTTCAGGTACAACAATGGAGAAGCCAGACAGTGTTAATGGCTCAGTAAGGGGAATCCACTAGGGTTGCCTGGCGTCCGGTTTTCGGGTGTGTGTGTCACTTGCGGGGAATTCTCTTCCCTCCCCCCGCATTCCAGAGAACAGGAAAAACTTTTGTCCTCCCCGAGCCACGTGTCCAAGATTCATGGCAGACAGAGCAGACTCTGAGGCCTGGGAAATGCCAGGGCACCGCTGGTGCAGCTGCTATTTAAGGGGTCACCTGACATCAGCGCCTCCTGGAGCCCCCGCAAACTGCCCCAGCCAGACCCGCCCAGAGCCTGCACCCTGACCCCCCCTTCCACGCCCCAGCCCCCTGCCCCAGCTCAGAGCCCCCTCACACACCCAAACTCCCTCCCAGAGCCTGCACCCTGCATCCTCTCCCGCACCTAAACTCCTTCCCAGAGTCCGCACCTCCCTCCCACCCTCCGAACCGCTTGGCCCCAACCTGGAGTATCTTCCTGCACCCTGAACCCCTCATCCCCGGCCCCATCCCAGAGCCCGTACCCCCACCCAGCACGCCCACACCCCACATCCCAACCTTCTGCGCCAGGCCGGTGAAAGTAAGTGAGGGTGGGGGAGACCGAGCGACGGAGATGGGGGGGCGGGCCGGGGGGAAGGGGACAATGGCAAGGGTGTTCAGTTTTCTGAAATGAGAAAGTTGGCAACCCTAGAATCCACATTACCATTATCTGTGTACAATGAAGCCTTCTCAAAGGGGGCAGGTAAACAATGGACACTTTTTGACTCACATCATAGCAAAAGATCTTTCCAGCAAGCTGGAGGAACCTATAAATGGGGGAAGTGACATCACATCACTTGTCCTCACTCCCCCCACAACTCAACACCTGGAAACAGGTCTGAAGAAAAAGACTGAACTGAGGAGATAGTTTCAGGCTGAAGGGATTTCTTGCCCGTGTATGGAAGACCTGTGACCTGCTTGTATTTTCTGTCAGGGTGAAACACTGCTTGATTCAATTCCTGTCTAGTTAATAGAACTCAGATCGCAAATTTGTTTTATTTCTTAGGTAACTAGCTTTGGTCTGTACGCTTGCTACTTATAATCACTTAAAATCCATCTGTAGTTAATAAATTGTTTTATATTTTTTACGTAAAACAGTGTGTTGTTTGAAGTGTAAAGGGAAATCTGTTCAGGACCAAGGACTGGTGCACATTCTCTCCACATTGAGGGAGGGACAGACTGGGTAATACACTTACGCTGGTCAGGCTTCTGAGCAGGGCAAGACGGTACAGTTCTGGGGTTCTAGGCTGGGGAGCTGGGGGGAATTTGCCAGAACCTCTCTATTGTTGGTTCATGGGTGGCCTATGAAAGCATTCATGTAACTGCAGCTGGGTGTGTCCCTGCCTGTGAATGTCTGTGTGAATGCAGGACCTGGAGGGGTTTGCAGCTTGTCACATAATCACAGTGTGAGACGGAGCCCAGGTTGGCAAGACAGAGGGCTCAGCAGTACCCTAGTTCTGGTTTCACCCTTGAGAATGCATCACAGAAGCGCTACACCCCACATACCTACAAGGTGACTGTGTCTAAGGGGAGGGGCTACACCTCACACACCTACAGGGGAGATGTTGCCTCTGCGGATGCCTAAGAAATCACAGGAGTTTGCCTGTAGCTCTAGGACCCTAGGTGTGTGTGTGCATCTGTGAGGGGGCAGAAGCAGTCTGTGTGTGTGTGTGTGCGCGCATGCATGCGTGGGGGGGGCGAGAAGCAGTCTACGTGTGTGTGTGTGTGAGGGGGGTGAAAGCAGTGTGTGTGTGTGTGTGTGTGAGCATGAGAGAGGGAAGGAGTGAAAGCAGTGTGTGTGGGTGTGTGCATGTGTGTGAAGGGCGGAAGCAGTCTGTGTGTGGTGTGTGTGTGTGTGTGTGAGGCAGCGGAAGCAATATTGTGTGACAGAGTCTTGTGTGGTGAGGGGGTGGAAGCAGTATGTGTGTGTTGTGTGTGTGTGTGAGAGGGGGCGAGAAACTAGTGTGTGTGTGTGTGTGTGTGTGTGTGTGTATGTGTGTGTGTGTGTGTGAGAGAGAGAGAGAAGGGGAAAAAGTAGTCTGTGTGTGTGGTGTGTTTGTGAGGGGGCAGAAGCAGTCTGTGTGTCTGTATGAAGGGGAAGAAGCAGTCTTTGTATGTGGTGTGTGTGTCAGGGAGTGAAAGCAGTGTGTGTGTGGGGGGGAAGATGCAGTCTTGTGTGTGAGGGGGCGGAAGCAGTCTGTGTGGGGGGGGCAGAAGCAAGCTTGTGTGTGTTGAGTGTGAGGGGGTGAAAGCAGTGTGTGTGTGTGTGTGTGTGTGTGTGTGTGTGTGTGTGTGTGTGTGTGAGAGAGAGAGAGAGAGAGAGAGAGGAGG